TGCTGCCTCCAGAATTCCTGAGTTCAGCTGAGGCCATGATTGGATGCAACAGGCAGCCTTCTTCTTATTTTGTTTTTAATTTTTTGGCAATGCCACATGGCATGCGGGATCTTAGTTCCCCAACCAGGGATTGAACCTGCGCCCCCTGCAGTGGAAGCAAGGAGTCTTAACCACTGGACCACCAGGGAAGTCCCCAGGCAGTTTTCTGTTAAAGGATGTTTTGGGGAATTCCCTGGCGATCCAGTGGTTAGGACTCTGTGCTTTTACTGTTGAGGGCCCAGGTTCAGTCCCTGGCTGGGGAACTAAGATACCACAAGCCATGCAGCCAAAAAATAAATTAATTAAATAAAAATTTTAAAAATTAATTAAAAACAAAAAGAATGCTTTGGATTTGTTCCTTGGTTACTTGATAAGGCTAGTGTGACTTCACGTGGCCTGGATGAAGCCTACAATTTGGACTCAAAATGCTTCTTGCACCTTGGAATGTGAGAACGAGCCAGGGAGGCCCCCTGAGCTATTTAGTGTGTTGAGCCTGGGGGAAAAAGGCAGATCTTAGTTGTGGGAAGTGTTTGTTCCAAGATTTGGCCTACATGGATACAGAGCACTTCTAGGCCTGAGGGCCCCATCAGTGTCCTTGAAGCAGGTATGACTTGGATTCATTTTGGATCAGAGGCCCCTAGTCTGAAAATATTAACCACTCAGGACAGGTCAGAGAACCCTACGAACATCATAGGAATTGGGTACTGCTTTAGCATAAATTAATTCTTCTGTATCTGTTTTTTTTGGGATTGGGGAAGGGATTTGATTGTTTATATTTCTGCAAATCTCAGTATATATATTGGGGCATGGAAGGGACCAGGTGCCATGAAAAGGGAAGGAAATATTTATCTTAACTTAGTCATTTAGAAGGAAGCCTATTCTCACAGTTTCCTTTTTCTTTCCTGACTCAGTATTCTCAGGACTCAGCACTTGTCCAGAGGAGGACTAATAATTTTCCCTTCTAAGCCATGCCCCATGTGAGTTGGTGTTTTTTCTTCTCCTTATCAAATAGTCATTGTTTTCTAGAATATGAATGCTTAATATTCTTATCTCCAGATTTTCTACCTCACTAAGCCCCACCCCTCTCTTCTCTAGCCATATTTAGGGATCCATTCTGCAAATCAGGAAATGTATTAAGGAAAGAGTAGAACCTCTTGTGTCAGAATGTGGTTTGATGAGATGGGGCTACACATGCAAAATTCATTCTTTCTCATTGACCTCCATTTTCTGGTTGATGAGGATAGAAAATTGCTGTTTATCTCAGAATGTGGTGAAATCTTTGGTCTGTGAGGCTTTTAAGATTGGAAATGTGATCAAATGTAGGATTGAGAACAGAGAGAGAGCATGTCATGTCAGTGAGTACCTCAGAGGTGAATACCAGTGACAGGGTCCATTTCAAATTTGAATAGAATGTGTAAGTCAGGGGCCACATCTGTGTGAGTTTAGCTCATCTTTCATTGGTGTTCTCTTGCTCAGAATAAGCAAAGTATACAGTGAGCATTGATGAGTGGTAAAATGATCATCCAGAGGGTTAGATATTTGCGAATTTTAGAAACAGAGCTGATGTTAGAGAAGGAAAACAAACTAAATACTGGAAAATAAGAAAATGATTATAGGGAATTCCCTGGTGGTCCAGTGGTTAGGACTCTGTGCTTTCACTGCCGAGGGCTGGGGTTCAATCCCTGGTGGGGGCACTAAGATCCCACAAGTTGCGCTGTGCAGCAAAAAAAAAAAAGAAAAGAAAAGAAAATGATTATAATATGAAATATTATATACCTTATAAAAATGATGTCTATGAAAGGATTTGCCAGGACAAAGAAGAATATTATTGCTAAGTTATTCTGAGACTTGAGTTGGAAATAAATTCTTAAATTATATAGAAACTTTATTTTCTAAGATAAACATTTTAAAAGACATTTGGAATGGGCCCATCAGTTTTGTTTTTTTCTCTTTTTTCTCCCTCCCTTCCTCCTTCCATCATCTCTTTCTTCCCTCCCTTCCTTCCTTTTTCTTATTTTCAGTTCTTTAAAGGGAAGAGGGGAGGAAGGAATTTGCAACTTATTTGAGAATTTGCATGTGTTATGTGCTTGCACACAGTATTTCATTTAATCAGAGAACTCCACTTACCTGGCTTTTGTTCATTCTTGTAACTGTTCACAAGAAGCTATGACAGAGTAATGGGAATGTTTAGAAACTATTTAGGTGCTCTGCATTTATCACACTCTCTTCCTTTCTATTAGCCATATTGCAAGCCTCCAGCTTCAACGTATTTGTTTTGGCCACTTTATGTAATACTTTTCTTCTCTCATTACTTCTAAGAAATATTTCTTTATTTTACCATTAACCCTGGGTTGTCATTTCAGAGTTTGGTGTCATTCAAGGATGTGGCCATAGACTTCTCACAGGAAGAGTGGGAGTGCCTGGACTTGGAACAGAAGGATTTGTACAGAGACGTGATGTTGGAGAACTACAGCAACCTGGTCTCACTGGGTAATTTTGTCTGTTCCTAATAATTCAGCTTCAGTCTTTGTGAAATTTAGAAAACTTTCCAAGTGCCTAGCTGAATTTCAGACCCCTAGTCCCAAATAAATTTTTTGTGCCTTATAGACTTTGAAATGGACAGCTTCATTGGGCACTTTTATCTACTCTTTTCTTCAGATATCCTTTCTCTGAATCTTTCTGTAATTGACCTTCTTACTTGATGAACAGTGGACTCAATTTTAATTCTGGACAAGCAGAGTGTAACCGTATCTATTTCCATTCTTATAAGCAGGATTTTCCATTTCTAAGCCAGATGTGCTCTCCTTATTGGAGCAAGGGAAGGACCCTTGGAAGGTTGTATGGGATGTGACAAGAGGTCTGAGCCCAGGTGAGTAAGAGATGATCAGGCAAAGGGAGGCCGTTGTTAAATTCCTTAATAAGTTGGCCACACCTTTGAGTTATTAGCTCCCAAGTTCTCCTCACAGACCCAACCAAGGCCTTTTACTCCTAGGCCTGTGAAGTAAAATCCTGAGCCTGGAGGATAAAACTGTTTTAGTATCAGTTACCTAAGGAATCCCCTTCTTTGCTCCATTTACCACTTCCCTTGTTTTCTTTCATGTTCCCCTGTATTTTCAAACAGGGAGTAGCCCTCCTTTTTCAATGATAACCATTTTAACATTTTATATTTTTGATCCAGTGAAACCTGTATGAGTCTTTATCCAACAAATATTTTTAAATACCCTCTATATTCTAAGTATTGAGAATATAACAGTAAACAAGAAAAATTCCCTATCCCCATTGATCTTTCCTAGCAGAAGAAATAGTCAGTAATAAAAATATACAAAGAGTGATGAGTGTTATGAAGCAAAACAAAAAGCATAGAGAATCACAAAGTAATGGGGGGAGGTGTTCTTATAGAAAGAGTGGTTAAGGATGGCTCTCTGAGGTGCTCGCATTTGCGGGGAGACATGAATAGAGTAAGCCATGCAAATTCTGGGAGAAGAGCAGGTTTTTGTTTTTTGGGGTTTTTTGTTTGTTTGTTTTTTGGCCACCCTGCGTGGCTTGTGGGATCTTAGTTCCCCAACCAGAGATCAAACCCAGGCCCTCGGTAGTGAAAACTCAGAGTCCTAACCACTGGACTGCCAGGGAATTCCCAAGAAGAGCAGTTAAGGCAGAGGGACTAAGCAGTTGCAGAGGAACTGAGGTAGCAGTGAGTTTGATCCTTTTGAGGATCAACAGATAAGTGTGGCTAGGGTGAGTCAGGGAGAACAGAAATAGAAGAAAATAATGTATCAATATAGATTCATCAGTTTTAACAAATGTTCTGCACCAATACAAGATATTAAGTTATTACTGATCAGGGAACCTGGAGGGGAAGGAAAAGGGAGCATGTGGGAACTCTCTGGACTTAATTCAGTTTTTCTGTAAACCTAAAACTACTCTTAAGAAATAAAGTCTTAATTAAAAAACATAAGATAAACTATAGCATGGGTTCATAGCAATTCAGTTCAGATTCTGAATTATAGGCTTTTTATTTAACCCTTTTTAAGATCTTACAGCTGCATCTATTTTCTCCCATGCCAGGAGTCCCAGTTATCAAGGACACTAAGAATGATGCAATTAGAATATCACATAATTACATATTTTATCCCACATTATACAAGAAGCCTCTAAAATAAGAAGATCAACACTACCACTAACAATATGATTATTCAAAACAGTTTGAGATAATTGTTTTGGCAGTTTTTTGTTCCCTTCATAGGGTATATCTCACAGTCAAATTACTATGTTTGAAAGTTATTTGAAGTAGTTTCCTTGTATGGTTATGTCACTAATTGTAAATACTGGTTCTTTTTTTTTTTTTTTCAATTTTTAAGCTGTGCTTTCTTGTAATTTAATTTTGTTTTATAATTATTTAATATATTTATATACCACCAAAGTCAAATCTACAAAACAAGTTATATTCAAAGAAATCTGACTTCTATTCCTGGCTCCTCCACCTGTTCCTTCCCTACCCTGTAACTATGGGGTTTATTCCTCTCCCTTTTTAAAAAAAAAGCAAATGTGTATTATACATTTATACTTCCTCCACCTCCTCTCCTTCCTAAGATAAAAAGAGCATAACTATACATACTTTTGTTGACATTTCTTTTTTTTTTCTTAATTAATTAATTTATTTTTGGCTGCGTTGAGTCTTCGCTGCTGCGTGTGGGCTTTCTCTAGTTGCGGTGAGCGGGCGCTACTCTTCATTGCGGTGTGCGGGCCTCTTATTGCGGTGGCCTCTCTTACTGCTGAGCATGGGCTCTAGGTGCACGGGCTTAGTTGCTCCATGGCATGTGGGATTCTCCTGGACCAGGGCTTGAACCCATGTCCCCTGCATTGGCAGGTGGATTCTTAACCACTGTGCCACCAGGGAAGCTTGACATTTCTTTTACAATTAATAGTGTATTTCAATCAGCACTTCATATTAATATAAAGAGATATTCCTTTTTAACTGCTTCATAGTACTGCATGATGTGGATATACCATGAATTATTTCAACCATCCACCTACTGATGGACAATTGGGTTATTGTTAATCTTTTTCTGTAACAAATTATGCTTCAGTGAAAACTTTCTGCATCAAAATTTTTGAAATTTGCTGGTGCAATTAAAAAAATTTTTTTTATTGCTTTATTTTTTTTGTTTGTTTGTGTTTTGGCCATGCCACACAGCATGTGGGATCTTGGTTCCCTGACCAGGGATTGAACCCTGCGGTGGAAGCATGGAGTCTTAACCACTGGATGTGGGAAGTCCCAATGTGGTCATTTTTATCAAGTTGTGATTTGGAAAAATTTCCCCTTTCCTAAGTTATAGAAGAAGTCACCCAAGTTTTATTCTGGTTATTTCTGTGTTTTCATTTCTCTTGAGTAAGGGTATCTGATCCATTTGGAATTTATCCTACTGTAAGCTCTAAGGTACTAATGCAACTTCATCTTTTTTCTGTATGTTTATCCTTATGTCGTATTGTTTTTTTGTTTTTGTGTTTTTAAGGGAGAAGGAAGGTTTCATTATTTGCAGCAAGTAAGGAGAGCACTGGGGATCTTTCCCAAAGCAGTGTCTCCTATGTTTATCCTTATGTTTATCACTTTCATTTATTAAAAAAGAGTCCATCTTTTCCCTACTTGTTTTAGCTGCTACCTTTATTGTATGCTAAATTTGCACTTATAATTGTGTCTATTTATGGATTTTTCTTTTCTGTTCCATTGGTTGCACTGACATCTTATGAGTATGATATTCAGTTTGAGTCCACCACTTCTACCTTAGAAGTTTCATTTTACCAGGAATATGAAAATAGCATTTGTTTACTTGTTATCTTACAGACTGGGAATCCAGGTGTGAAACCAAGAAGCTATCATCAAAAAGAGAAATTTATGAACTAGAAGCATCTCAGTGGGAGATAGTAGAACAACTTACAAGCCATAAGTGTGAGTGCAAAAGTTTTCAAGATGATAAGGAATGCAGAGACCAGTTTGAAAGCCATTTAGGAAGTAAAGAGGGACTTTTTAGGCAACTAGTAGTCTATGAAGAAATGCCTAATTTTAGTCAAACCACATCCCTTAAGTTACAACAGAGAATTCATTCTACTGAGAAATTCTATGAATGTAAAGCATGCAGAAAATATTTTATCCTTGGCTTTCAACAGACTGAACATCAGAAAAATCATTCTGATGAAAAATTCTATGAATGTAAAGAATGTGGAAAGGCCTTTATTTGGGACTCACAACTTACTTACCATCAAAGAGTTCATGTTGCTAAGAAACCCTATGAATGTAAGGAATGTAGAAAAGCTTTTATCTGTGCCTCGCAACTTATTTGTCATCAAAGAATTCATACTGGAGAGAAACCTTATGAATGTAAAGAGTGTGGGAAGGCCTTTATTCGTAGCTCTCATCTTACTCAGCATCAAATAATTCATACTGGTGAAAGACCCTATGAATGTAATGCATGTGGGAAGGCCTTTTTTCGTGGCTCACAACTTACTTACCATCAGAGAGTTCATACTGCAGAGAAACCCTATCAATGTAAGGAATGTGGAAAGGCCTTTATTCGTGGCTCTCAACTTACTGAACATCAGAGAATTCATACTGGTGAGAAACCCTATGAATGTAAGAAATGTGGGAAAGCCTTTAGTTATGGTTCACAGCTTACTCTACATTATAGACTCCATACTGGTGAAAAGCCTTATAAATGTAAAGACTGTGAGATGTCCTTTATTCGTGGCTCACAACTTACTGAACATCAGAGGATCCATACAGGTAAGAAACCACACGAATGTAAGCAGTGTGGAAAGGCCTTTAACTATGGCTCACAGCTTATTCGACATCAGAGGATTCATACTGGTGAGAAACCATATGAATGTCAAGAATGTGGGAAATCATTTATTCGTGGCTCACAACTTACTGAACATCAAAAAATTCACACTGGTGAAAAACCCTTTGAATGTAAGGAATGTAGGAAAGCCTTTATTCGTGGCTCACATCTTACTCAGCATCAGAGAATTCATACTGGTGAAAAGCCCTATGAATGTAAAGAATGTGGAAAGGCCTTTATTTATGGCTCACAACTGTCCCAACATCAGAAAATTCATACAGGTGAGAATCCCTATGAATGTAAGCAGTGTGGGAAGATCTTCATTTGTGCCTCACAACTTAATCTACATCAGATTTTTCATACTGGTAGGAAACCATATGAATGTAAGGAATGTGGTAAGACTTTTATTCGTAGCTCACAGCTAACTTGCCATCAGAGAGTTCATACTGGTGAGAAGCCCTATGAATGTAATGAATGTGGGAAGGCCTTTATTCGTGGTTCACATCTGACTCAGCATCAGAGAATTCATACTGGTGAGAAACCATACAAATGTAACGAATGTGGGAAGGCCTTTAATCGTGGATCACAGCTCACTCAACATCAGAGAATTCATTCTGGCGAGAAGCCTTATAAATGTAATGCATGTGGTAAGGACTTTAGACGTCATTCACACCTTACTCAACATCAGAAACTTCATAATGGAGAAAAACTGTATGAAAAAATTAATTTAGTAAATCCTTTACCTGTTTGCCCATGACATTCACCTTTGGGATATCAGAAAATTCAGATTATGAATGTGAGAATCCTTTTTTACTTAAACTCATAAGTAACTCACCTTCAGAGAATTCACATTTAAGAAAGGCTAGATTAATATAAGTGCAGAATTACTTTCCATCATATTTCAATCCTAGTTAGACATTAGTGAATTCATATGAGAGCTCAACCCTAAAATGTAGGGTTCTCTTGTACAGTATCACGTGAGCTCCACTGTTTAGTATGTGGGTGTTCCTTTGCAAAAGTTACTTAACCCCTGTTTGTTTTAGTTTCCATTAATATCACATATTTCATCATAGTGTTCTGCAATTTAAAGAAGTACATATACCGTAAAGCCTTAAAGGAATGTGTACTACATAGTTAATGCTTAATAAATGTTAGCTATTATTGTAAACATGACTTTTATTTAGTGTTTTAATCATTACTTTTAATCTTACTTTACAGAATTCAAATGAGAAGGAAACTTTACAAATACAGTACATACGGTAAATCTTTCATCACTCTTACTAAGCCTCAGGTAAATCATTTTGGAACAAAACATTCTAATATTATTAATGTGAGGTTATACTTGATTCTGAATCAAAATTCTTACTAAAAGGAAACACTAAGGGGAAAAAAGTGTTTTGCCCTTACAAATAAAGCTGCTTGTGAACATTTTTGTATAAATTTTTGCGTGAACACAAACTTCCATTTCTCTGGTCTAAATGTTTAAGAGAGTAGTTTCTGGGTTATATAGTAAATGAACGTTTCTCTTATAAGAAATGGACAAATCATTTTCCAAAGTGGCTTTTCCATTTTATATTCACACCAGGAACATGAGTGACACAGTTTCTCTGTATCTCTACCAGCATTTGTTTTTTTCACCATTTTTTAATCTTAGCCATTCTGATAGGTGTGTAATGATATCTCTGTGTGGTTATAATTTCCATTTCCCTAGGGGCTAGTGATGGTGTGCTTATTTGCCATCCCTGTATCCATTGTGGTGAAATGACTGTGTCTTTTACTGCTTCATTTTTGAATTGTATCATTTTTTTTTAACTGTTGGATTGTGAGAGAGTGCTTTCTTTATTCTAGACAATACTAGTCCTTTGTTTGATATGTAGTTTGCAAAAATTTTTCCCAGTGTGTAGCTTTTCATCCTTTTAGCAGGGTCTTTTGAAAAGCAAAACTTTTTAATTTTGATAAGGTCTAGCTTATTACTTTTTCCTTTTACGGATTTAGCTTTTGGTGTCAAATCTAAAGACTCGGGCTTCCCTGGTGGTGCAGTGGTTGAGAGTCCGCCTGCTGATGCAGGGGACACGGGTTTGTGCCCTGGTCCGGGAAGATCCCACATGCCGTGGAGTGGCTGGGCCCATGAGCCATGGCCTCTGAGCCTGCACGTCCGGAGGCTGTGCTCCACAGTGGGAGAGGCCACAACAGTGAGAGGCCCGCGTACTGCAAAAAAAAAAAATATATATATATATATATATATATATATATATATATATATATATTTCTTTTCTAGCTCCAGATCCCAAAGATATTCTCCTACATTTTTGCCTGAAGTTTTCATGGTTTTATGTTTTGCATTTAAGTGTGTGATCCATTTTGAGTTAATATTTGCATACATTATAAACTTTAGCTTCATGTTATTTCTTTGTGTCGTCTTATGGGTGTCCAGTTGTTCTAGTACCATTTGTTGAAAAGCCTACCTTCAATAAATTGATTTTGTGCCTTTATATTTGTGTATGTCTATTTCTGTATTTTCTCTGCACATAGGCACATCTGAGTGTGCCTATCCCTCTGCCAGTACCACCCTGTCTTGGTTACTGTCACTCTATATGATGTCTTAATATTGGGTAGAGTGATTCCTCCCACTTTACCTTTTTAAAATTGACTTAACCATTCTAGATCTTTTGTCATTTCATATAAATTCTAGAATAAACTAACCTATATCTACAAAAGAAGAGTTTGCTGAGTTGTAATAGAATTTCACTTTGGAGATAATTGACATCTTTACTCTCTGAGTCTTCCAATCCATGAACATGATATGTATCTCCATTTTTAGGTCTTTATTATGGGTTTAATTGTGTTCCCCAAAATATTCAAGTCCTAACTCTCAGTAACTGTGAATGTGACCTTATTTGGAAATAGAGACTTTGCAGATGTAATCAAATTAAGGTGAGGTCATATTGGATTAGAGTAAAAACTACTCTAATGACTAGTATCCTTAAAAGAAGAGGGAAGTCTGGACACAGACACATAAGCAAAGCCATGTGAAATCAGAGGCAAGGTTGGAATGATGCATCTACAAGCCAAGGAACACCAAGGCTTAAATAACTACCAGAAACTGGAAAGGGCAAGAAAGAATCATCCCCTAGCACCTTTAGAGAAAGCATGGCCCTGCCAATACCTTGATTTTGAACTTTTAGCCCCCAGAACTGTGAGAAAATAAAGTTAAGTTGTTTTAAACTAAGTTGGTGGTAATTTGTTATGGCAGCCCTGGAAAACTAATATAGTCTTTGATTTCTCTTATTAGGATTTGTAACTTTGGGCATACAGATCGCATACATGATTTATAAGTGTATATCTAAGAGTTTCATTTTCTTTGGAAAAGTTGTAAATGGTGTGTTTTTCCTTTTAGCTATTAATCACTAGTATACACAAATTATTATGTACATATACAAATCAATATACAAATTATATAATTGGTGAGTTCTACAGCAAAGCCATAGACTGTACTATCAATATAATTTGTATATGGGTTACAAATAACTTGTATATTGATCTTGTAATCTATTATCTTGCTGCAGAACTCACTAATTAGTTCTGGAAGTTTTTGTTTTGTACATTCCTTGGGATTTTCTACATAATCATGTCAGCTATAAACAGGGACAGTTTTTTTCTTCTAGTCTTTTGTTTTTCTTCCCTTATTATGGTGACTATTACTTCCAGTGTTATGTTGAGTAAGTGGTACAAGCTTATATCCTTGCCTTGTTTCTGATCTTAGGGGGAAACTCTCAGTCTTTCACTGTTAAGTATTATGTTAGCTATAGGTTTTGTTTAGGTGCTCTTTTTTATTTTTATTTTTATTTTTTTAACATCTTTATTGGAGTGTAATTGCTTTACAATGTTGTGTTAGTTTCTGCTGTATAACAAAGTGAATCAGCTATATGCATATGTATATCCCCATATCCCCTCCCACTTGCGTCTCCCTCCCACCCTCCTTATCCCACCCCTCTAGGTGGTCACAAAGCACCGAGCAGATCTCCCTGTGCCGTGCAGCTACTTCCCACTACCTATTTTAAGTTTGGTGGTGTATATATGTCAATGCTATTCTCTCACCTCGTCCCAGCTTACCCTTCCCCCTCCCTGTGTCCTCAAGTCCATTCTCTACATCTGTGCCTTTATTCCTGTCCTTCCCCTAGGTTCATGAGAACCTTTTTTTCTTGTTTTTAGATTCCATATATATGTGTCAGCATACAGTATTTTTTTTTATCTTTCTGACTTACTTCACTCTGTATGACAGACTCTTGGTCCATCCACCTCACTACAAATAACTCAATTTCGTTTCTTTTTATGGATGACTAATATTCCATTGTATATATGTGCCACATCTTCTTTATCCATTCATCTGTCGATGGACGCTTAGGTTTCTTCCATGTCCTGGCTATTGCAAATAGTGCTGCAATGAACATTGTGGTACATTGTCTCTTTTTGAATTATGGTTTTCTCAGAGTATATGCCCAGTAGTCGGATTGCTGGGTCATATGGTCATTCTATTTTTAGTTTTTTAAGGAACCTCCATACTGTTCTCCATAGTGGCTATATCAATTTACATTCCCACCAACAGTGCAAGAGGGTTCCTTTTCTCCACACCCTCTCTAGCATTTATTATTTGTAGATTTTGTGATGATGGCCATTCTGACCAGTGTGAGGTGACATCTCATTGCAGTTTTGACTTGCTCTTCTCTAATAATGACGTGCATTTTTTCATGTGTTTGTCAGCAATCTATATCTTCTTTGGAGAAATGTCTATTTAGGTCTTCTGCCCATTTTTGGATTGCGTTGTTTGTTTTTTTCATACTGAGCTGCATGTCCTGCTTGTATATTTTGCAGGTTAATCCTTTGACAGTTGCTTCATTTGCAAATAGTTTTTCCCATTCTGAGTGTTGTATTTTCGTCTTGTTTATGGTTTCCTTTGCTGTGCAAAATCTTTTGAATTTAATTAGGTCACATTTGTTTATTTTTTGTTTTTATTTTCATTACTCTAGGAGGTGGGTCAAAAAAGATCTTGCTGCGATTTATGTCATAGAGTGTTCTGCCTATATTTTCCTCTAAGAGTTTAATAGCATCTGGCCTTACATTTAGGCCTTTAATCCATTTTATTTTTGTGTATGGTGTTAGAGAGTGTTCTAATTTCATTCTTTTACATGTAACTGTCCAGTTTTCCCAGCACCACTTATTGAAGAGGATGTCTTTGTTCCATTGTATATTCTGGCCTCCTTTGTCATAGATTAGGTGACCATAGATGCATGGGGTTTATCTCTGGGCTTCCTATCCTGCTCCATTGATCTATATTTCTGTTTTTGTGCCAGTAACATACTGACTTGACTACTGTAGCTATGTAGTATAGTCTGAAGCCTGGGAGCCTGATTACTCCACTCCATTATTTTTCTCAAGATTGTTCTGGCTATTCGGAGTCTCTTGTGTTTCCATACAAATTGAGCAATTTTTTGTTCTAGTTCTGTGAAAAATGCCATTGGTAGTTTGAAAGGGATTGCATTGAATCTGTAGATTGGTTTGGGTAGTATAGTCACTTTCACATTGTTGATTCTTCCAATCCAAGAACATAGTATATCTCTCCATATGTTTGTATCATCTTTAACTTCTTTCATCAGTGTCTTATAGTTTTCTGCATATAGGTCTTTTGTCTCCTTAGGTAGGTTTATTCCTAGGTATTTTATTCTTTTTGTTGCAATGGTAAATGGGACTGTTTCCTTA